GGAAAAGTGAAGGTGAGCAGCACGCTCGTTAAATTATCCGTGCAGCTGTCAAAATAAATAATCAGAATCGCGTACGTGCTGGTCGTTGGATGCTTGGGACTGGGCCAAGAAGTCATGAGGAGCATCAGTCGGACGCCGGCCAGAAGGAAAGCGAAACTGGTCACTTTATTGCCGACTTTGCTGTGTTTATTTTGCACTCTGCGCTCGACTAGTTCAATTACACTCTTTTTTTATTGTTTCATTAGCACCTGCTGCTTTGGCATCCGGAATCAATTATTATTAAGGACACATGAATTATTATGATAGGGATCAAACTTTAAAATTCTCTATGACCGATCATCTGTTTTTACAAAAATTGTTTTTTATTTTAAATAAAATATATGGCTTTTTTAAAATAAACTTCTTATCTGTAAGTTATTTTTAATTTATTCATATTAATTTATTTAATAGTTTAATTTAAATTTTTCACATATAATTTTATTTAAATAATCATTTTATCCTTTATAAAGAGATTTCCCGTGCAGATACCTTTTTGTTTAATTGATTTATAAATAGTTCATGTTGCCAGCAGCAGAATTTATCTTATAATTAACAATTGAATGTGCATAGTCCTTGGGCTAGATAAATTAGTTTGGATTAGGTAAATTAGTTTGGATTAATTATGAATAAATGTAAATAAATTTCTTGTGGTTTTATTTATTAAATTTATTTCAATGGGTTTGAAGAATGGTGATTTGAATTTAAAATTCGGCTTTTCATCGGTGGGTTTTTGTGAGTGATCACCATAAATCAACTCTCGATCCTGAACTTTTACTACAAAAAAAAAAAATGTTTGAAGAAGTTCATTGACTACTTATACAATTTATAGTTTTCTTCGTTTTCTTTACATGTAAATATTTAAACAGTAATAATAACAATTTTATCAAACTATTAATTAGATAAATATTTAATTACACGCACAGCCCTTCATTTAGGAAAGTCCTCTTAAAACTAATAATCATCTTAAAATTTAAAATTTTTAACTTTTTTTTTTTAATAAAGTATATTTATTTGAAAAGAAAATTACAAGTCCGGCCAACTCCAATCGGAGTTATCGGCCGGTGCTTATGCGACTAAAGCGCAAGGCTGAAAGCCAAGCACTTCAGCTCTATTCACATATTTTTACATGCGAGTTTTTACAAAAATAATATTTTATGAATAAATTACAACAGCGAAAGAAACAATTTTTTAATTTGAAATTTGACATCATTTTTAGAGCGCAGATTTTTTAGATTTTGTGGCAAAACATTCCACAATCTCGGATAGATATATTCAAATGTGCGATCGGTGAATTTATTTACACTCGGTGGCATAATGAGCGGTTCAAGTCGAGACATTCGCGTTTCATACTGGTGGATTCTTGGCACGCCACGGTTCTCGTCAAAATATTTCAGACAATGTACATTCAATTCATATATTTTATCAACTGGCAATATGTTCCAAAATTTAAACAAGTTTTCAATCGATTGTTTTTGCTTGCGAGTGCACATTTTATACAAAACTCGTTCTTGTAACTGTCGCAGAGAAGTTAAATTGGCGGAACCCCATGCGGGAATTCCATAGTTCAGATACGAGTGTGCGAGTGAGAAATACATAACTCTGCGTGTAGAATGATTGAGGTGCGCTTTTATAAAATTGAACTCTCGAATAATATTTCTCAACTTGCTGGAAATGTGTTGCAGATGGTATTTCCACGAAAAATCTTGGTCCAAGTGCAGACCAAGATATTTAGTTTTTTCAACTTGCGTTAAAGCTCCACATTTACAGCCGATCGAAAAATTATGCAAACATGTGTACTCGTGGCAAGTAATTTTTAATTTGTTCTCAAGTCTAATATTTGGGCTGCAAAAGTGCAAACTAACAGTTTTTTTCTCATTTATCATCAAACCATTATCATGACACCATTCAGTTATAATATTAAACTCAGATTGAATCACATCATGACAAATAGCAAAATTTTCATGGGCAAATAAAATAACTATGTCGTCAGCAAAAACAAAAATTACACATCTTTTCAATAGCGGGACGAGATCATTAATAAACAATAGGAACAAAATAACTCATTTTTATTTTAAATATTATACGAGATGATGTGAAAATAACGCATATTCAACTTTTGGCATTTGCAAAATAAATTTATGCAAATCTTCATTCAAGTGAAATTAATCATCCCCTAAGACCATCAAGTTTGACGATGAGGAAATTTCTTGGCCAAACATTATAATTGCATGGAGAATCTCGTTATAGTTTTTGAGAGAGCGGTTCTGCGATGATTTCTTAAGTGGTCGTTTGCGAAAGCGGGCGGAAGTAATGAGAACTGCTCGCAACATGATTATTAGCCTGGTGGAAACGACAGCATATTGTCCGCGCGGATCTTTCTTTCTCTGCAACTGGAGTCCTTTAATAACAACATCTCGAGAGAGTCGACAGTCGTTTGGCCGCGGCCCAAAACGAAAACAGGCCCACATGAGCACGGGGACTCTCGCGATAAGAATTAAGGGAAAAGAGAGGACAAGAGATAAATCAGTCGGCTCACAATGAAATAGTACGGATTGGCTAAATAAGCAGGAAAAATATATAAGTTGGGAGAGGCTTTCGCTTTTATTGTTATTGCAAACGACTTATTTGCTCTCGATCTTATTTCGAGAGGCACTCGGGCTGACGAGCCGAAGTTTGCCTCATTTGCTTGAGTGTGTGTTTCGACTAATTGCAGCAGACGCGATGATATTGATTATCGGCAGCTCTCGTCTCATCTCTCACGAAATGAAGATGAAAACCTCTCGAAGAGCCGCGGTTTTGCTGCCAAGGGTCTTTTTTCATGCTCAAAAGTGCTGCTTATTATTCAGAGGGTGGCGTTTTATCCAAGGAGCGTGGGTAATTATTTGGCCAATTTGGAATGGGGCGATGCGGATTTTTGGTTGAACTGTAATTGGGCTCTGATTTTCCATTTTTTAATTTTTTCACTTCTATTTATTCATTTTTTAAAGAAAATATTCAAAATAAAAGCATAAGTAAATTTTCCCTGTGTGAAAACACTAAATATTTCTTTGTGAACACAAAATGTAAATAATTGAACAGAAAGCTTCTGGAATAGGTTTGCTTTTCACATGCGTAAACTATAATTAATTTATTTAAAATAATTAAATCTGGACTAATTCTAAAAAAATTAAGAGAAAAAAATTCATAAAATCCAACTTGAGCGTCAGTTTTTAATTCCAATAATTTTTCCATTTACTTTTGCTGTCTTTTTTTTCTAATTTTTTTTGCGCTTAAAAGAAGACAAAAATCATGAAATGAAAAGTCGACTTCAAGCAAGCTGAGTGGATGGGATGATCATAAACCGTAGGGCGAATCAGAAAAGATGGAACCGACGAATATATACGAACAAGTAAAAGTTGCCCCATCAAATAACTTTCGGATTCAGTTCATCTTTCTGTTACACACACGCAGCCCTTATTTGAACATAAAAAGCACTCTGTTTACGACATGTAACGTAATAAAAGATCAGGAGGCAGCGTGAATACGCGTCTTTCTTACACTTTCTTGCCCTCGTTGCAACCTGCAGCCGTGCCAAGTTCTGAAAGAAAGAGAAAAAAAATGCCAATCGAGACGGACAAAAGTTTCGTCGATATTTCATATATTTTTGAGCGCCTAACAAAGGAATTCTGGAATTTTGAAAATAATATATTAATTCTAATTCTTTACTGACAACGAGATGAAAATGGTGATTAAGTAATCACTCTTATTGAGATTAACTTCCCTCAAGGCTCAAATTCTATGTGCGGGGAAATGTGAAAATTTGATGTGAACTATAAGTGCTAATTTGCATGTCCAATTTTGAATTAAATCGTAAAATTTCACGTTCTTTCTCATTCAATAATATAAATTATTACTTTGGAAAATAATTGTCATATAACTGAGTAAGAAATATTCAATTTTTGTTCAATATTTAACAAAAAATTTTCAAACAAAAACTTCTAATTGAAATTGTTACAACTTTTAATAAATCCCTCTCCAATTCCTTTCTTTTATTTCCCTGAAGAGAAGTGAATGTTTACAGTTGCAACGATTAATGTATATAATAGGGTGCATTCGCACCCACACACCTGCCTCCGTCCTCGTAACTCAACAAGCACCGAGATGGAGAAAAAGCAAATGCCTTTTTATAAAATGTCTCTGCACGGATGCTAATATTGAGCAAAAGATGAGCGTGTGTGAGTCGTTGTGGAGGAGCACAATGAAAGCGCCTAGTGTAATTGCGCACCGGGGTGGCTCGACCTACATATCGCGCACAAACAACCGGCGGCTGCGAGAGGTGAGCGGCCAGGGTGACTCAGTCAGCTTTGCATTCAGATGAGCCGCGGCTGAATTACTAGCTCCGAGCTAATACCTTTGCTCCAACACGGATTAGAGCAAAAATATGTGACAGAGCAAGAAAAATAAATGTGAAATCGTGCAATCAAACCTCTCTTTTGCTTAAATTTATTTTGTTGCAGAAAAGATCCAATTTAAATTTTAAGAAAGGCTCTGTTCAAATTGAGGTAGAATCAAATTTACTTAAAAAAATAAGATAATAATCGGAATTAATAAATTTTTAGAACGAATTCAACTGTTTTCTTAGAAGATTCTTAAAACGTTTTTATCATTTTCTGACACAAGAGTAATTTTTTTTTATTAACTCGCTTAATCAATTGATATAAAGTCAATTTTCTTATAAATCTTAAAATTCAAGGGGTAAAATTATCCGGCAAAGAAACGTTGTTCTTATCAGTCATTATTTGACATCGCCAAAAAAGATTTTTCAAAACCAAATTATCAATTTTAAGTTTGCAATCGGATTTTATATGAAACTATAAATTCGTGATTGGGAAGCATTCTAAAAAAGTCGAACTTTTCACTTAGGTTTTCTATCAAATAGTTCATTGCCTATTCCTAATTATCCGAATATTCATTGAAAACCGATTAATTATTATAAATTATAAATTTTTATTTTAATAAAAGGATTTTGGATTTTATAAAATTGACACATTTTCACAATAATTTTATATTATTATCTATAACAAAAGGTAGCCAATAAGAGGAAAAAAATAATATTTAATGTCGTTTAGTTAAAATTTATACATCATTTAGGCTGCGTATTTGTTTTGTGTTGTTTGTGTTTATTTAGGCGGCTGCTGGAGTGGTTGCGGCTTCAGTAGTCGCAATAGTCGCATCTGCTGCGGTCACGGTCACTTTAGTCAATGCGTCAACTTTTGCTTGTAATTCACCCAATTTACTTTCGTAAACGGACATCACTTTTTTTAGGAAAAGGTTTGTTCAGTTTGGTGTTTGAATTAAAAAATATTATTATTGATAACTTACTGTTCTTCACGAAACTGCAGACGTCGCTGTTTGTGCATGTCTTTTTTGGATCGACATCTTTAGGGTTGTCTTCTTTAGGCTTTTTTGTTGTCGAAGTTGTAGTTGTTTTTTTAGTATCTTTGCCACTGTCTTTAGAATCTTTGGCAGCCTGCACTTCAAAATTGTTGTTTTCGTTATTATTATTATTATTATTATTATTATTATGGTTCGATCGTCGAGCACTTCCAACTGCCAAAACGGACAAACCGATGAGAAGCAAGGTGCACAATCTAAAATTATTTTAAATATATAAATCATGGGACTATTTTAGATATACTTAGAAATTAAATTCTCAACAAACCTCAAATTCATGATGGAAGACGTTTGGATTGGTAAGCTTCTGACTAACAATAATTCAAAGAGACTGGATGTGAACTCATCTCGGTTTGAATAGTTCTCGCTTTATATATAATTCCCATTATCAAAATATACGTGCTTTCCATAGTATGAAATTCCAATTTTCTAGAGCGTGAATATAAACATGAAAGTAATGCATTATTTTATTATAAAAGACACGCACACTCTTGTTGACAAGTACTTCTATTTTTATGTGGTCTCTATAAATTATATTTTTACATCTTTTTTTTTTATTTCTGGAAATTTGTTCTGTATTGATTTCCTGTCAATATTCCGCTCATCAAATACATCATACGCTTCAAAGGCTGCAGCTCGCGGCAGAATATACGGACGATGCAATTATCTGAAATTCGTCGCATCAGCACATAATTATCTGTTTTACACGCTCCAAGTGCATCTCGATATGCATAATATAAGCCTTAATGCAAATCTCGGCCAAATGCTAATAGGCACGATCCACAAGCGCGCCAACCATGCATTGACACAATTTTCAAACCAAACCACAATTACGTCAAAATTGCATTCGCTTCACAGCGGCATTGATTATTTATGGGTGCATAATTGCTGATGTACGATAATTATACGCAGAATTGTACAATTTCCAAATTAATTTTCACATTTGGTGATTTATCATAAAAATAATTAGATAAGAAATGAAAACGTAGTATTGGGGCACTTTTTATTTAGCTTCGAACATTAATTTTTCTTTAATTCAAATTTTAAAATTTATTTCCAGTAATCTGAAGAGAAGAAGAAGAAAACTGTGGAGATTACATTCTATGTACATGAAATAGTGCTAATAGTAATAGATATTTATATACCTCATAAAAAATGAAGCAAAACTTTCAATGTGGATATAAATTGAAACTTAATTTTACAATATAAAACATCCCCTTTGTTTTAAAAAAAATTCTTGCTCCTTATAAAGCCGTTTTGTCAAAAAATTTCTTATATAATTTTTATTTTCAAATGTGTAGATCACGGGCAATAACTAAAAATGAAAACTCAAATATTATCAAAATATTTTACATTCAAATATATATTTTTAATTCTATGTGCCAATTTTGTTAAATATAAACATTTTATTGACTTACGCTTTTACATTAAATTTTAAATTTTTCGGTCACAAAATTTGATGCGAGTCGTTCTGGTTTCCAACGCAATCTAAAATTTACAAAATGAGCAAGCGCGCCTGTAGGAGTCTCAGCTGCATACACGCGTTAATAATGTATCGTTTTTTTTCACTGTCGGGTGGCTCGTTGCCGTTGAACTAAATTAAAACAAACGGGCAGAAAAGTCTAATTTAGCACCTTTTTTTCGTTATAAATAAAATTTCAATTTCGGTCAAATTTTTTGCTTTTGACGGCGGCACGCTGCTTTTTATTATTATATTTATCTATGCAACAGCTACTTTTTATGCGGTCCAATTCATGCTGGGCGATAAGCCTCTTTCCACGCAGCTGCAAAATAAAAATACACATCACAAAAAGAGCGCGAGCCGCATTATCATTTTGCCGCCGGTTGCAGAGCAGATAAAATGCTTTCCAGGGCAAAATGTTCTCCATCGGGATGTTAAACAAAATTGATTTGTGCCACAAAACTGAATTAATAATGAATTCTTGTTTTTTTTTTTCAATTTTTTTTTTGCAACCCACAATCAGTGGCATAATTCCTTCGTTACGAAGTGTGAAAAATGAATATGGGTAGTGCGAATAAAGGAGATGCATTTTTGGATCGCGGCGCCGCAAAAAGTGATTCATCTGGGGCGATGTCAGGCGATGCTAGGCTGACGAATTAATCTTCTAGCGACCCCAACTGACTAATGATGCTGCATCTTTCTTTCCGTCAGAATATAAAAGAGCCACTTCTTGCACTTTTGCTGGCCACTTTTCCTCCCACGATCAGACTTTGCGAACGATCACTCATTTGACGTTCAACATGCTGAAATTATTTATCAATAAAATATCGAAAATGTAAGATAAAGAAAACAGAATTTGAAGATGGATTTTTCTTGATTGCGTTAGTAGTGATACGGCGTAATTTAATTTGTATTTTTTAATCCATCTGAAGGCTCAATCTGACAATGATTAATACTATGTTATTCTCTCATATCGACAGCGCATCATCATATCATAATTTGTTATTTATTTATGATAAAATATCTAATGATCTTTTTATATAATTTTTACGTTTTATTGACTTAATTGCAGATACATAGAATGTCTCTTGCTTTATTAGTTTTTGCCAGCACTAATTAAAAATTTAATGTCTGTAAAATAAAAATAATAAAATTTTTAAATTAATTGTATGGAAAAACTTTTGATTTAAAAACCTTTAAATAAAATGTTCATAATCTTAACGTTGATTATTTTTTTATTCAATACAATTTAAAATTTACAATCAAAATCTGAAATTCCCCAAACCCAACCTATCCACATCCTTTTTAAAATCTTTTCTCCACTTTTATCCCTCTCTTTTTTAGTTTTCAGCTTGTCATCATCGCGTGGACCAAAATAAGGATATGCAAGCAAAATACTTTAATAAAGTTGAACCCAAAAATTAAAAAAAAAAAAAAAAAAAATGAATTTGTTGTGCCTTCCAGTGCCTTCTGCATCACTAATAAAGGGCACCGGCCGACAAGACTTTGTCTTGGCCTGACCCTAAGAAAATAATAATAATAATAATAATAATTATAATTAATGCAAACACATTAAATTTGATTTAATGCGACTTAATTAAAGCTAATTTACTTCAATTTTGAGCCAGAAACGACAGCTTTATACGAAAATAAATTTTCCACAGTCTATCTATGATGTTTGAATTACATTCCTCAAAGACAATATTAGTTTCCCGGTTGTACAAAATGAAACATGATAGCCGATACAGTTTCCTTTGAAAGCCGCTTTATTTATTTCTGCAAAGAGCAAAGAACCGTGTGCGTCTCTTTTGTCTCAAAGGCTGCTAGAAATTGAGTTTGTCAGTCGTGTTCCATCTTTCGAGCACATTTCTGTAAAGCATCTCGGCGTAATCCAATTTGGCTTGCGCTCCGGCGTCGGTTTGCTCTGCATCTTTGTCGACGCCCGGCCGCTCTAATTGTGCCAATTTCTCTCCGGCGAGCTGCTGCCGTTTCGCGCGCCTGTCAATCTCCTCCTCGACGATCTCCGTCTGTCTTCCTCTCATTTTCGCGTGCATGTCAATCTTGGCACGTACGTCGAGCGCCGCGTACTCCTCCTCGCTGGACACAAAACTCGCCAGGCCGACTTCCTCCAGCACTTGGACCGACACGGGCCTCGAAATCCACTCGAACTTTCGTTCCAGACGCAGCGTTTCGTCAGCATTCGCAAACTCCTTCTGCACTTCGCCAAACTGCAGGTCAGGGTCTTCGAACCGACTCTTGACCTTCCACTCAGCAATGATTTCGTCCAGGGTGGGAAGGGCAAAGTCCCTGTTTCGCCGGTGCCAAGTGGCCTCGTCCGTTTTGAATTTGAGTCGGAGAAACTCGAGGTTGTACGTTTTTCCGAGAAAATTGTACTTGGGTGGAAAGTACGGATCAGGGACGACCTTTGGTCTAGGTCGGTACAGACTCTTCAAAGGTGGCTCAGGTTCGATGCCGAGGACGTAGTTGGCCTTTTGGTTTTTCAACTCGATCTCGTACTGGACGATTTCGGCCTCTTTTTCTCCGATCTGTTTGTGTTTTTCTAAAACTCTTCGGGCGGCTTCTTGCTTTTTCTGCTTCAGGGTCTCACAGGCCGCCACCCTGGCCTTCCGAAGTTCCTCCAGTCGCAGGCCGGCCATGTGAGTGCGGAAGTCGAATCCCAATTCGGCCGTTTCTTGCTTCGCCTTCAACTGGAGGGCTTTCTTTTCCTGCACCTGCCTGATGTGCTCGTCGTCGTTCTTGCTTGACCTCGACCTGACTGACCTTTGGCCTTTCCTCAGGGCGGACGACTCTTTCTGCTTGAGGTCGTGCAGCAGTTGGCTCTGCCGCTGTTTTTCCAGCTGCTGTTTTCGCCACACCACCAGTTTTGCGTGCTCGACTTTGGCCCTTCGCTTATTTTCCGAATTGTCGCCAGCGGCGGTTGGGTCTTCGCACGGCCGGCGGTGCAGGTAGTCGACCCTTTCCTCGTGTCGCAGATCCTGCAAGTGCTGCTTCCGCTCGCGAACCTCCCTGGCGTGCTCCTCTTGTTCCCGGAAGTGGCACTTCTCGGCGGAAAATACTCGGCGCCTTCTTATCACCTCCTTAGGGCATTGCGTCTTTGTGCAAGCGAACTGAAAAAAAACACGAATTTTAAAATTTTTCAAGAGAATTTGTGATATATCTTACCATTTTGAAAGCGAGAGACTTTTCTTCGTTCAATTTTGGGCATCAGTTTTCTTGTTGAAGATTAAGCAACAATGTGAAATAAAAGCGTTTGTTGAGGAAAGTAATTTGTTGTTTCCAAGAATGGATTTTTTTTACACACATGTACTTTTCTTATTTTGAAGTTTATTTTTAAAAACAATTTAATGCTGATCATTAGATGTGTTAGAAATTGATATTAAATTTGAAATAAATAAACTCTGCAAAAAAGATTTTGCCCAAAGTATTGAATTTTACATTCACTAATAGATTTTATTTAAATAGACTGTAAATACAGGACAAATTAATAAAGAATAACTCATAAATTTGTCTTTATTTATTTATTTATTATAAATTGTTATATTTATTTTTCTCTATATATATTCAAAAAATATTATAATACAAAACAAAGTCAGAATAAAAACATTTTAAAATAAATTTACTTACATTAATTGAAAAATCTATTAAATTGTGATTACAAAACTATAATTACCTTAAAAATAATTTTACTTGCACTGACTATTGTATATTATGCAACCACATAGTCTTAATTATTGTAGTTAATTCAAATTCAAAAAGTCCATAGTTTTGGAATTAATAATAAAACAATTTTGGACATGTTAACTTTATTGTAACTAGCGTCAATAGTCAATTAATTTTAATCTGATTTTTCGTCAATTTTTGTCGGAAAAATATTTACAAATGATTGGTTTTAATTTATTTTCATTTGAATATGCAAACTCTACATCAAATACAAATATTTGAAAATACATTTACCTTCTCTTTTTCTAATGAAACGTGAAAAGGCAATTCCTTTGTAAAAAAAACTATCTCCCAAAAAATTGCATTGATTGAATTAACCGGATTTTTCCTCTCTTGTATGCTTCAGGTGGTCGACGGAGCGCAATGATGCACAACAAGCGAGTAACTGTGGACGTGGAGAGCTACTCAAGCGAAGACATGGCGGCGCACCACCATCACCACCACAACCATCACCAGCACCATGGGTCGCCACCTTTATCGCCTTCCCTTTCGCCATCGCCGCCTCTGCCTCCCACTCGATGGACGGCCCTAATGCAAGCTCGGAAAAACCGACAGGTACATTAAAATTATTGAATTTTGCAAACTCTACGCCAGAATTTACATTAAATTGAGTCGAACGTTTTCCGCCCCCCAGTGAGAATGTTTAGCACCCGCAAACCACTTTTGCCACCCGCGTCGCATTCAAAAGCGAAACTTTCACTCTAGTCGGGGGTTTCGGCGTCATTAAAAGAGAATCTCTGTTTTCAAAGGAGCGCATCCGAGAGGCGAACTCGGCGCTGTCGTTCTCCGAGTCGGGCGACTCTTGTCCTCACTGCCGGTGCGGCAGGTACTCGAAACTGAACCGGCACAACAGCACCCATAGCAACCACAGCGCGAGCACCACCCTCAACAGCTACAGCACCTCGCACAGGGGTAAGTCACTTTTAACCACAATGCGGGGCGCTCCCTTGCAAATGTCGAGCGCACGTGGCCCCGCTGCCGAGAGTCAAAGTGAGGCAATCAACCGATCCCGCCGCCGCACAGACCTTTTCTCCGCCACCCGTAACATTCATAACACACTTCTGCTCTCACGCAGAAGTGAGAGAGAACAATCAAAATCGGGACGACGACGAGGGCTCAAATTGCGGCTTGGGTGAGAGAGTTGGAGCGCGGTCAGGCGGTCCAACTTTGGCAAACCTACAAAAGCAGATAGCTTTAAAAGCAATTTTTTTTTAAATATTATTTACCTTTTAAATTTTTGTAATTATATTACATTTCCCCGATCGAGCGCTCACAGAGCATCAGTTCAACTCGAGCTCTCCTCGGTTTCATCGCAAGAATTTCTAAAATTGAACAACGATAGTCGCATACATACACTGTCCGATGAACTCAACGCAAACGCAATAATTAATGAACGCTGCGCAGTATAAAATATAATTCTATTTACATTATATTATATATAAAAACATAATAATTTTTTAAAAAATTTTTGCCTAAACTTTTTTTTATAATTTTAAGGAATGATATTTTTTTTATTGTAAAAAAGTATTAACAAAACTTGAGATTCTTGGGAATCTTGCTATTTTAGTCTCACAGATTGAATGTGGAAAACAATATTTCATTTTATTAATTATTCTTTCCACATTGCTTCATTTCAAGGCATCATGTTTTAAATAGTAATGGGTTTGGTTCAAGATCGTTCAAGTTGAAGTTAATATTTAGCATAGTGCATAACAATTATTATTAATTAAGATCTTTTTTAATTTTATAAAGAAGAAATCTATAAATCATCTTTCTGCTGTAAAGCTTTTAAAAATATGTTGATGGCAGCTGGCAGCTCATGATATAGTCAGCTATATATGTACTTGAAACTATAAAATTGGGTAATACTCACAATCAGCTGAAAATATTTATTTAAATATAATATTTTGAATCAGATATAAAGACTAACAAAAAATAATTAATAAAAATTATAAAATTATTTTAATAAGCTTGTGATCAATTGAATTCAATGTTAAACAAATCAGGGCCCTATTGTTCCTGATTGTTCTTGTAAAATCGTTTTAAACCAATTTAAAGCTTTGACGCGAATATACATATCAACCATTACCAAAAACAATGTTTATTTTGTTAATTTACTAGCAATTTATCAAAAACGAAAGGTTGTTTTCAAGAAGTTCTTCTTGGTTGTTTTGAAGAAATTCCACACAACAATCATTCATTGGTTTTATTCTTGTTGATCTTTTGTTACTTTTTCTTCTTAAGCTCCTCACAAACAAAAGATTATATTAAAAAAAGATTCTTTTTAAATATTCCTCCGAGAAACTGAATGGAAGTAGTTAAGTAAAAACAATCAATATTTGAATCAATTCAAACAAACTTTCCCAATTGAATACCGTTTGTTGTAAACATTGACAAAAAGCAGGTAATTCCGACCAAAAGAATTTCCACTCGAGGGCACTTTTCAGAAGTGCGTTTTCAATTTCTTCGCAACGAGCGCAGAGGATATTTCTTTATTTTGCTGCGAGACAATGAGAAATTCACGGCAGGTGCTTTTGCTTTTTAAACTCGATTTATTATTCGCAAAGTTCTCCTCGCGAGCACGGGGGACATAAATTCGAAATGAAAGAGAAAAAGCGCACCTTTCTCTGCCATCTGCGGCCCCACGAAAGGTGAGAGGAGCAGAAAAAGTACAAGAGGATGCACAATTTCCCATTCTACATTATTTGGCGATTCTTTGCGAGGAAGAAAGCAAGTCAAGCAAAATATAAACCGGAGAGGAAAATCGACTGCTGGGTCGTTTTTGCGCCGTTACACGTGCCTGCACGATATTCGCGCGTTTTTATTGGCCGAGTGGCAGTAAGAAAAGTTTTGCTGCAAACTAAGTGGACTCGCACTCGGCGAGCACGAACCGAGAAAGAATAAATGGACGGACGCTTTTGTTTTCGCCGAGACTTGACAAAAGAACAACTTTTTTTATTGTAACGCCCCAAGTAATTAACATAATGAAATAAGTTTTGCGAAATGATCGCACCAATTTCAGAAGTTTCCGAATTTCAAACTGGAGAAATTGATGAATAAAATTTCATGGAAAGCGATCAGCCGAGAAGACGGAACCATATAATGGCTTCGTTTGAAAAGGAAGGCGCTTTGGGAGAGCTCCAAATTTTATTACAAAGGTAATCGACGGGGAAACGCCCCTTACACTTTCAGCCGATTTTTTCACGCTCGGTTCCAAATTCCGGCTCATGTCACCGGAAATAAATTAGCCGCCCTTTTAACCAGCCAAATTGGCTTCGATTGGGCACACGAGGCCCTTTAATTCGCTGCCGTTTCACCTTATGCTTTTGGCTTATTCATTTCAAGATTCTTTCCCCTTGGGAAATATATAGAGCAGGCGACTTATTTCATAGAAATTAGGGATTTTACACGGTAATTATTTTACGATCAATTTTTTTAGCTTTGTTTACAATTAAAGGAAAGTATTGCATAAAAAGCTATTTCCCTAAAAATTGGTGATTTATTAATATAATTATTATTTACATTGTTTCCAAATTGTAACAAATACATTGTTTTGCATTCAATTATTTGAAAACAGAGGAATTGTTGAACAAAACGGCAAACGGCACAAAAGAATTTTGCTGAAACTTCCAAGATCGAAAGGACCCTATCCATCGCAGTTAGCCTCTTATCTAAGAATTAAGAAAATTTTAACTTAATTAAAAATAGGCGATTAAATATGATTGTAATTTTTAAACTTTGTTTTGAGGAAAAATAAATAAAATTTTAGATTTTATAAATATTTATTATTTTTAAAATAGCTGAGACCAATTTGAATTATTTTTTATCCATTAGAACAATTTATTATTTTTCCATCAAAAAATGATCCCCGATTTTTTTCCCTATCCCTTAACTTACCAATATCTCTATGCTATAGAAAATGGGGTAGATGTTCAGCAGTAAAGAGCGAATTGCTGCAACCGGGAAGACACATCCGGCGTGCAGGTTGCCTACCCTAAAATCCTCTCTAACACGCACCACGGCTCGTCCCGGGCAGGAAGAGTTTAATAAAACATGAGGGCACCTTTTTCCCAGTAAGCTCTCCTTTTATACACACCAAGGGAAAATATCGCTCGAGCGAGAACGCATCGATTTCAGGTGCCAGATTTTTATCCCCCCTCGAATATGCACTGGATATCGAAAACGTAGGCAACCCTCTTGACCGAATGAAGGTCTCTTATCGCATAACAGCTGCAACATGTGCAACTCGATTTCGGTTTTTATCACCCACGAGTGCAGATTGACGTGTCACCCCTTCTGCACGCGAGGCACTTTTTCGCCTTTTCCCTTATCTCTGTGTGGCAAAAGTGACAAGCAACAAACCGACTGGGCGAAATTACACATCTCCGCGTTGACCTCAACTGACGCTTTCCACATTCGGTCTGTCAATACTTTGTGTTTCGTAATCGAATTGCTTCATCTCCCACCTTTCCCTCTGAAACTTTTCTTTTTTTCCGTCGTAACCACGAGGGCGTGCAAGTGGAAAGTGGGCCACATCATCTCTAGCAAAGTTACACATACGTCGTCAGTCATTCGGTGAACAGTGTGCATTAGCGGAATGAACCACACGCATCCGAAGCTCCGTCTGGTTAATCTTGTTCATTTTCATCAAGCAAGACTCTGGAAATGATCGAATTGATGTCTTGAAATTTTCGCAGGGAAAACATTTTCCTCCTTGCAACGTTATACAAAAGACGCTCACTGAAAGTTATACCCAACTTGATCAGCCACTTGATCTAAAATTATTAAATGGGTTTTAGCACAAAACTTCGCAAATACTTATCAATATTATAAATAAAGAGAAGCATTTTTATGTTCAAAAAATTATAAAAGTCGAAAATACGTTTCAAAACTCATCATCAGGTAAAAAAATTAATTAATTGACCTTCAAATTTCAAAACATTGTCTACATTAAGATTTCAAAATGTCATTTTTTTTAATGTGAGATGTGAGATATTGATTAATATAAATAAAACATTGTTTGTGCAATCTTTTATAAACCGAGAATTTTAGGTTCATCCTGCTTTTAGATAAATTCAGTGATGATAGGTTTTTTCTGAATTTTTTTAAACCAATGTTTAGCTTTCATCTACAGAAATTTAATGAAATCATCAGTTAAACATGCCTTATTGCGGAAAATCAACTTAACTTCTGAATTTATCAACAAAGATTTGAGGCTTAAAAAATATCGTATTATCAACTGACCATCTTGAGTATAGAAATAATTAAAATAAATAAAATATATAATTTTTATTATCATCTTTTTGTGTGAAATAATTAAAGCAAATCAGATGTGAGCGTTAAATTTATATTTTAATAGAAACGCCAAATGTTTTTTGACATTAAATGCTTTTGAAAGCATGTGAGCCCTCTCTCAAATTTGAGCCTCTTCCACGCCATAATTTCACGAAAAGCAGCTTAAATTGTCAGAGTTCAAACAAAAGCCGACGAACGAGAAATTCAGTGGGGCGCTCTCTGGCTTTGTCAACAAAACCACGCCGCAACACCTAAAATCGGCGTTTGCGACACACGAGGGAAATCACTGTGAAATAATGTTTAGGCAGCAAAGCAGAAATATATTTGCCTATCTAATCCGCACCTCGAAGGGAGAAAAACCTCCACTGATGATCTGAACAATAATTATTTGTACGCGTCATTCAGGCAGGCTTTGTTGTTTTAAAGCGAAAAACATTTACAGCCGACGATAAATTTCATTAGCCGCGAGTTTAATCCTTCCTTGCACGTGTTGGTTCGCCAGCCGAAGTGGGCAAGCAAATAAATTTTATTGCCCGCTCTCGCTGTAACACCCTCTCTATTCGTGTTCGTTCATTCACGTGGGTAGAATTCTCGCGAGCAAGACAATAAAATTTGCT